GATATTAACCAGTCTAACTTTTAACGTGAGAGCTCCGTTGCAAAATATAACTTCGCAAATAATAGTATAGATATGGATGTGAATAATTGTAGTTCCTTTTTGTTTAAGATTTTTAATCCGAAAATTAAATATATAAATAGAAAAGTTGATTTTATAAAAAAATATTTGAAATAATTATCCTTCAAATCTTTTTTTTTTTTGCTTAGGATTTGAAAACAAACTACTATTAAACACTCTTTTACAATCTTATGTTTAAGATTTTAGAAAAAGACAATTAATGTCAAATAATTTCTATCAAATATTGTTTTAAATTTTTTTTCCTTCATGATTTAAGAAAGAGGAAGTATTAAATAAATCATTTTCAAATATTTTTTTTGTTTAAGAAAATTATTTGTTTTTAATATCTTATTATATATCTTATGAGATATTTTAACACATGTCAAATTTTTGAATGAAAAATTACTATCTAACAATCTTTACAATTATCAATTCTTTAGAATTTTAGAAAAGGGAAATTGACATTCTTTTAAAATTGTAGAGAGGAAAACTCCAATTAAACACTGTTAACTTTTGAACAACTTTAGAACAATTATTTTCTTCCAATTCATTTTTTATCTTTGTATATATATTTGTAATCATGAAATATTCAAATGCATGTCACAATGTTAAAAGAAAAATTATTATCAAATAATTTATTTTGCAAATATATTTTCTATAGGATTTTGATTTTAAAAATGGAAAATACTCCTAANAAGAATATTTCTAATTATTTTTAACAAATTCGATTATGGTTTAAGAATTTTTATCAGAAATTAACTATTTAAATAGAAAAGCTGGTTATTCAAAAAAAACAAAACATTTGAAATAATTATCCTACAAATCATTTTTTATTTAGGATTTGAAAAGAAAGAAGAAAAAGTACTGTTAAACAGTGTTTTACAATTTTCTTATGTTTAAGGTTTTAGAAAATGACAATTACTATCAAATAGTTACTTTCAAATATTTTTTTTTACATTTATATTTCCTTTAGGATTTAAAAAAGTAAAAATTAGTACTAAATAAATCCTCTTGCAAACCTTTTTTTTTTTAAAAAAAAATATATATATATATATATTTTGACATCTTATTATATATCTCATGAGATATTTAAGACATGTCAAATTTTTAAAAGAAAAATTATGATCTAATAATATTTTACAATTATCTATTCTTTACAATTTTAGATAAGGGAAATTGGTATTCTTTTTAAAATTATTAAAGGGATACTACAATCAAATAATCTTTACTTTTTTTTACCTTTTAACAATTTTCACAAAAATAAATTTCTTCAAAATTTGTTTTTTTTTTATCTTAGTATATATATTTGTAATCATGAAATATTTTAGTATATGCCAAAATAAAAGAAAATTACTATCAAATATTCTTTTTTTTAAATATATTTTACAATTTTATTTTTACAATTCTTTTTTCCTTATTCTTTGCGAGAAGGAAAATCAGTGTTATATATTGTATAATTTTATTCTAGTATAGGATTTTTTAAAACGAAAATAACTAACTTTTTATTTCGTTTTTATTTACTTCTATATTGTAACACATGTCACAATCTAAAATATATACTTCAATGTGTCGCGATTGTGTTAATTAGTAACTTTGATGAACCAAAATTTATATAATAAGATTGTCTAAACTCATTAACTTAAATTTCATAAATTATCAATATATTATATTGGAAAATTTAATTTAATTTGAAGAACCAAGCTTTATATAATAAAAAGTAAAATTTCTAAAAAATACTATTACATAATTTTTAAAGTTACTTTTTACTAATAAATAAATTTTAAACTTACTTTTCGTTTTTATTATCTTATTATTATCTATTTATATATATTATCTATTTAATCATTATATATTTTAACACATGTCACAATTTTAAAAGGAAAATTACTATCAAATAATCTTTTACAATTATTTTTGTTTAGGGTTTTAAAAATGGAAAAACTACTATTATATAATAATTAAATTAATTTTTTTTGTTATTATCTAAGTATATATATTTTTAATTATGAGATAGATTCACACATGTCACAACCTTAAACACATAATTGTCATGTGTCACGATCATGTTAATTAGTAACTTTGAAGAACCAAACTTTATATAATAAAATAAATATATTGAATGTGTTTTACATACATTAAATCTAAAATAATTAATATATGTAGGTATATAATACCAAAATTTTATATACATTAAATATAAAATAATGTTTTTATATACATTGAATCAATTTTGGTTTGGTTCTTCGGATCCTGATTTTTTACCCAGCCCTAATAAATTTGTTTTAATTATATAATAATTATATAAAATTATAGAAATTATGACATATAATTAAATTACCTAGTATAATTAATTTAATTAAATTATAGAAATTATGAAACATTAAGGAATTTTGTAATATTATTAGATGACTATGACGACTGAAAACGAAATAACTGATACTGATACTTTACTGTAAACAGCAAAAAATCAGTTGATCCACTAAACCAATAATAGCAATCCCTTGGGTTCAGACACACATACTCACTGTGCTGATACCCACTTATAAGTGCACTGTTTATTTCACTTTGTGACGTTTCTTGAAGTTTTTCAGGCAAGTTACAGTTGCCTCTGTTTTCTTCATCTCAGCTTCAGATTTAGCCTTTTGATGATTCTCCCATGCTTGTATCTTCATCTCTTCGCGTCTAAACTGTTAATGTAAGATAATCAAGCTATATCAATTCGAACACACAGTAGTACATGGACAATTCTTCTCAATAAATACGACTAGATTAATCCTTTTTAAAGTACACAAAGTTCTTTATAAAAGCAATCTTTCAAGCAAACTCAAGACAACCCTTGACTTGTTTGACTAGTCTTACACGTTCACAGACCTATGACAATCTTTGAACCACTTAAGCTTCTAACCCCTAGATGCTTTGTCTCTCCTTCTTCGGACGTACAAAACTTCTCTTTCTAAAAGCTCTTTCTGTGTGTTAGTTTTCTTACAACACATAGACCTCCTTTTTATATGCAGAGACACCCTAGGTTTGCAAATCTAACCTTGACGGAAACTTTCCATATCCGGTTCTTCAGCGAATAAGTCAATCTCTCTTTTCTTCAAGATTCGATTGATTCTTCCTCAAGTCTTTCCTTTTTAAACGAGACTTCAATAACTCTCTTATTAATGCGCCATCCAGGACTCGTGCTTCTCTCAACCACTCGTCTTGTAGTCGTAGTTCATGTCGCACTTCATGAACTACTTTCGTACTGCTACGTCACCATCTTGAGCACACATCTTCATAAACCTGGTGATTAGACAAGTCATTTCAAGTTAAAACCTCACTATGATAAAACAATGCAAGTTCAAGTATACCTAGCCATGTGCTTAGCCTTTTCAGCTTCCTCCCACGCAGATGCACGAGCTTCAGAAATACTCTTACAAGTCTAAGCATCTTCGTCTTCGTCCTCTTTACTTGCCCAAGCAGCAATGTTTAACTTCTCAAGCTGTGTTCCCAACACCATTATCTCTCTCCTAGTTTTCGTTTGAATCTCTTTCTCTGACAATTCCTTCTTACTCAATGCTCCTCTCCCTGGAGTTGAAGGTGCAGAAGTTACAGGACTTCGGATTGGTGTTGTTGCCCTAATCAGTGTCCCGTTCCTAGAAGGTTCTTGGCTTGCTATTGGAGTCATCTCAGTTCCCATGTCTCTCACTGAGACAGATCTCGCTGTTGAGGGCGGTAGATCAAACGCAGTTTCCATTGACGAGTCATGTTGACTTATATTAACTTGCAACAGCAAGATTAAAACAGAACATAAAAAAAATTGAATCAACTCAATCAAGATGATTCGTTAGGACACACACCTTCAGTTGCTGATGCTACAATTGAGTTCTCAACCGGTTTGATATATGAATCAACTTCCCAGTTAACAAACTTATTGTGCCCTCATGTCGCCTTCTTCACTTGGCAGAAATGTGGAATGCAGCCTGATTTTCAAAGTATAGTGATGTCGAAGATGATTGGCGAATCTCGAGACTTCGCATAAGTTCCATGATCCATTTGAATTCGCATAACGTCAATGCCATAGACTTGTACTCAACTTCAGCCGATGATCATAACACTACTTGTTGCTTCTTTGTTTTCCAAGAGACAAGGGATTGACCAAGTAAGACAACGTAGCATGTAAGAGAGCGTCTTGTCAAAGGGAAATCAGCGTAGTCTGAGTCGCAGTAAGCAGAGAGTGTGAGATCATTCTTTAAGCTCAAGAGGATTCCCTGGCCCAGTGCTTTCTTCAGATAACAAACTACACATAGTGATTTACTCCGAAGAATTGCGCAAGTGCGTGCGTTGCATAACTGAGATCCGGCTTGGTCACTGTCAAAGTAAACTAGTCTTCCAACCAAGCAACGAGATTTAGACGGTTCTGAGTAGAATTCTCCTTTGTCTCGAGCCAATGTATGATTCTGCTCCATTGGTGTGTCGATAGGTTTAGAGCTAAGTAAACCGTACTCATTTATTATATCAAGTGCATACTTTTGCTGAGACAAGTAAATTCTTTCATTGTTGCGAGAGACTTCTATTCCAAGAAAGTATTTAAGAAAGTATCAAAGAACCCCAAAGTATTTCATATGAAAAGTCCGGTTGAGGTAGCTTTGAAATTGAAGATGAGAGTTGAGTCATTGCGTCCATAATAAGGTCGTCGACATATACCAATACATAGACAGTTGAAGATCCACGCTAAAGTGTAAACAATGAGTAATCCGAGTAGTTTTGCTTAAAATCAAGTTCTTTAGTGTTATAGACAGCTTGGCAAACCAACATCGGGGAGCTTGGTGTAAACCATAAAAGGATTTGCAAAGTTTGCATACTTTGTTTGGTGATGTCAATGTGAATCCAGGAGGAAGTTTCATGTATACCTCGTCGTCCAGATCTCCATGTAAAAAGGCATTGTGGACGTCCATTTGATAAAGTTCCCAACCTTTAGCTGTTGAGATCTCAAGAAGGATTCGAACTGTGTGACGGCTGGAGCAAAGGTTTCTTTATAATCTACTCCCTCTTTCTGGTGGTTTCCAAGAACAACCAGGGGAGCTTTGAAACGCTCGATGGTTTCATCAGCTCGAAACTTTATCTGAAAGACCCATTTGCATCCAATTGCTACTTTTTTCTGGTGGGAGATCAGTGATGTCCCAAGTATGATTAAGCTCCAACGCGTTTGCCTCAATAGTTACTGCATTATTCTATCTAGGATCTCACATAGCTTCTTCATAACTGAGTGGTTCAGACTCGGAGACGACCTTGGCGAGATATGCCTGAAGCCGTGGAGACAAGCGATGTAATGATACAAAATCAGTTAAGGGATAAGAAACCTTACCTGACGAATTTGATGGTTCGTTGGTGGGAGCGTGATGAGCGTGATGAGGGTCTTTAGTCTGACCAGTGTACGTGACCTATGGCTTGAGTAATACAGACGTTGTCTTTTTTTGGTCTTCCCCGTCCAAGTTCTTCGGGGAAGAGTTATTGTTTTGTTGTCCTGAGGAGTCCATAAACGATTCATGAGACTGATCCAGAGAAGAATCATGGACCATGTTAGCTCCCTCTGAAGAGGGTTCGATCTGAGTAGCAGTTGAGGTTTCTTCTGTGTGTTCATCGTCAAACAGTGCAGGATGAAGTGCAGGAATAGCTGTGACATGTTCTGAGGTCTCAGAGGTAATGTAGGGGAATGTACATATCTTCATGAAATATAACGTCTTTGGAGACTGGAAGTCTTTTCTGTCTCCAAATCAAATACCAACTAGCCTTTTTGTCCCATCGGATATCCGAGAAACAAACATCGAGTGCTCTTTTCCTGAAATTTATCTCTGTTGCGAGAGATACGTATAGTGAAGCATAGCATTCCAAACACTCGAATGTTGTCGTATGATGGAGGTTTCTCGTAGAGAAGTTCATAAGGTGTCTTGTACTCCAGTAATTTATTTGGTGTCATATTGATTAGATAGGTTGCAGCAAGTATACTTTCTCCCCAAAACCAAATGGGAAGAACAGCCTGAAACAATAGATCTCTTGCCACATTGAGAATATGCATGTGTTTCCTTTCGATGCGGCCGTTCTGTTGAGGGGTTTATATGCAGGAGGTCTAATGTGTTATTCCTTTTTCAGAAAAGTAAGATCGAAAGCAAAGGAACTCAGAACCATTATCACTGCGAATAATCTTTACTTGTTTGTTGAACTGCCTCTCTACGTAAGATAGAAAAACTTTCAGTGATCGTCAACTATGGTTAGGAAATAACGAGCACCTCGTAAAGCTGGTGTTATAAATTTCAGTGAATAAGAGAAAAACTTCCATCTTTTTATTATTACTTTGAAAAAAATACCACGGGTTTGTTTAACCCGAACACAAATATCACAAGATTTTTTGAACACCTCGACTCTATGAGAAAAACCACCAATATCAGAAAGACTTGAAAGAACTGCGGAGAATGGATGATCTAAGCGACGATGCCAAAGTTCACGAGATAGGAGTCTTCCAGCATTGCTTACTTTGATTGCACAAGTATAGTGGTAGACACCATCACACTATTTATCCGCACCAATCAAAGTCTTCGAAATCAGGTCATGTATCACACAATTTTTTTTTGTAAATAGCACAAACCAGCAATGTCACATAAGAGTTGTGCTACTGATATAAGGTTAATAGACAAATGAGGTGCATAAAGAACATTGGTGAGTAATAAGCGTTTTCCTAAACGCATAGCCATGCTTTGTTGCCCAAGTAAGCTCTCCATTTGGCAGAGAAATAGGAAGAGCAGAAATATGTCATATTAGTAAGCAGTTGTATATCATCTGTCATGTGGTTAGACGCCCCATAATCGATAATGATATCGTATTTTCTATCTGTACCATATAAGTAGAGCTTGTTTGTCTTACCCGTTGACTTATGATAAGTACTAGCAAGCTTATTATCGAACGAGGAAAAAGAGTGGGAAGGATAAGGATTTTGAAACGTGTGAAGTAAGGAATGCGGAAGAGTCTCTGGATGAAGCCGAGGGTTCGAAATTATTAGAAAAGAAGTAAAAATGATGAAAGACTTTGGAAGAGAATGAAGATGTTCCGTTATATTGAGATAGTTTAAATAAGGAAGCAAGTTGTATTTTTTTGTTTTCATGCTTTGTTGTTGTTTGTTATTTGGTGTCATAAGCCGTAACTTTACAGTCACTATGAGACAGGTGAATTTGCAATTCTCGCTATGAGAGTATTGTAAATCTCACACACAGAGCTGTAATCACTTTTCTCATTGATATAAAGTACTTTTATAGAGTTTATAGAGTTTACGATAGCTAAAACCTATCATTGGTGCTGTGAAACTGGTTTGAAACAATTCGCGATGAATTCTCGTATCCCATCTCCTTCTGGTGGTTCGATTCACTTCAATTCGGCGGAAGAGGAGATACCGGTGAAGAAGGAGTTGGATTTTTTGAACGAGTCGTACAAGTTGGTTATGAAAAAGACGGCGGAGTATAACCAACAGTACGAGGAGCGGTTCGATAAGATGGAGGGGAGTATTTAGGAGGTTTTGAAGATTTTGGGGAAATGACCAGTTCATGACGGAGCGATTGATTCACAGCAGTCGTATCCAACACAATCGACTCTGTTGTATCAGGTACCGATTCCTCATTCCGAGTCACATCGGAGCTATCAGCCTTCGGTTTATAGATCGAATGATTTGAACCTCGCAAGTAGGAAAATATGTTGAAGAAAGTCGAAATGCCTAGTTGCGATGGTTTAAACACTACTGATTGGCTTGTTGATATTGAACACTTCTTTACGATTGGATGTTTCCGTGGTGAGGAGAGGTTGGACTTGATTCCATTATGTATTGAAGAAAAGTGAAGAAGTGGTTCGCTTGGGTGTTACGAAGAGGAGGATTTACAAATTGGATGGATTTTAAACAACAGTTATTGCTGAGGTTTGCGGAGTCTACTGAAGATGAGCCTAGCACACGGTTGTTCTCCACTAAACAAACATGATCTGTAACTGATTATGTATCAGAGTTTGAAGTTCTTTCAGCTCAATTTCCTGGCCTACATGATATATATCTTGAAGAATCTTTTATAATGGATTGAATAAGGAGATGAAGGAGGTTATCAAGATGAAGGATCCCCAAGATTAGCCTAGTTTCATTGCGGCGGTGTTGAAGATGGAGAACAATGCGTTTTGTCAAGTTGTGAGTCAGGTGGGAGGTACTGAGAATCACTATGGTGCTAATAAAAATCGTGAGGGTGCAAGAACCAATCGGACTCACAGTAATTGCAGAACTTGGGGCAGACAGAGAGTTGATGTGGGACATAATAAAGAGAATGTTCCAGATCAACAACAAGGATTTTAGAAGCCTCTTCTCAAATACCCTGATGCCGAGTTGGATGCAATGAGGAGATATAATATTTTTTTCAAATGCAAAGTTCCATGGTCTCGTACTCATTTGTGTCCTAACAAGGAGATACGCATCTTGACAGTAGTGAATGGATTTGAGATGAAAGTGCTGGATTCGGATGATAGTGATTGGGAGGAAGCAGTACAAGAAATAGTTTAGAAGTTGTCAACCTTGTCATTGAACTCTTTCTTGGGTATTGATTCTCCTAAAACTACGAAGCTGTGGGGTAGAATCAATGGGTTGGAAGTGGTAGTGATGCTTGACAGTGGAGCTTCTCATAACTTTATTTCTCCTGAGGTTGTGAGAAGATTGAATTTGGGAGTGAAGGATGG